GAAAGAGATAGATGCTGTCCAAGCGCTTAAACAGCTAAAGCCGTGAAAGAGATCAACGTCGATGTTGCTAAGAGGTGAGACGATGCCGAAAACAAATTACACACATGGTGATCTAATGTCCGAGATTGAAACTGCAACTGGCGCAGATGTACACTGGTTTACAAAGCCTTCGAATAGGATGAGAACCGAAACATTCGCAATATTCGACTCAAACCTGCCTGCAACGAAACCACTCAAAAGAAATGGAAACATTGGAAATAAAACATACTCCATAACGGATAAGTTAAGGTAGTAAGTTCCCAAACAATCCAGATTCACTGGAAATATGGCATTAACAATCTCATCTCTTTTAACCTGCCACAAAGAGAGTGAGAAGAATTTTATAACATCAAGAGCCAAAGAACATAACCTGCATACTGCAGTAAAGATTCACATAAAGGCGAGAGATGTTTCAAACCGAGAAACTAGAACAAAACTAGTAGAACCCTCAAGACAAGGTAATATCAGAATACATCTATATTTGTATATTTGTATTTATCTGTATATTTGTTAATAATTTACATCTTTAAAAAGACAATGAAAAAAAAATATATATATATATATTAGAACAAATTTGCTTAGGTGTTATCACCTTGAATTTTTTCAGCATTTTCTAATTAATTAATTTTTATTTTTAAACTACTACTATTCTAATTGCCAAATACATGTAAAGTATATACTAATATTAATTGAATCGATCAAAACAATTGGAGAGAAATGTAGATTAAATCATTGGTAAATGGTGTTTTAAGTTTTAACTATGATTCGTAACAAACAAAATTGAACCATTAGAAAAACAATACAATTGAAGTCCTTTATATAGATGATTCAATTTGAAGAATACAACACAACAAATTTATGAGTAACTAGTATCATCGATTTTTCCAAAAAAAAAAATTTGAGAAATTATATCACCAAATTTTAATATTCTCAACTTCACATGATTTTGTTAAATCACCAAAGTTTACAGAAAAAATATTTGTAATACATCGTTGCAAGTAAAAACTTACTTTGGTTCATCTAATGTTGTAAACCTCCAAACGATATTCCATTTGAAAGAAAGGGATAGAAAAGCAAACAATAAATGAGATTTTTTAAAAAGTGTAAACAGTACCATTAACTAATCAAATTTGTTGTTTTCTAAATTTGATTCAAACCGATTTTCTTTGTCTAATTACTTACCCATCAATCAACTTACAAATAAATGGGAATTAGAAAGGAAACCATATAAATTGGAATAAAAGATATGTCAATTACGTGAATATATTGTTTTAAAAATTTTGATTCAATTCAATTACGTGAACTTTTTGTTTAAATTTTGAATCGATATTAATTTTTTTTTATATCAAAAATCAATACTAATTAAATTCAGAAAATTTCTCTTAAATGATTTTGTTGTTCTGCTTGCTTTCGGATATATACACAATCTTCCATTTTTGTATCTTTGAGTTAGTGCATTTTTTGTATCTTCCACAATCTTTAATCTTAATTTAAAGATTATGTTATAAATTCAACGCATTTTATTGATTAAGTGTTATCACACAAATTTAAGGAAATAAATATACTTAACTTTAAAAAAATATTTGATGTTTCACTAATTATGATTGGTTTTGATGTGTATGATTTTTTATTGAATAAAGGTTAAAGATATGTTGTTTTCAGTTATTTTAGAGGTCGAACACATTTCTATACAAAATGATCTCAAAATTCAAAAATAAAACAGGTACTCGGTTTTGTTTAGTAATTTTTCTCATAATTACAATTGATTTTTAATTAAAAATAAATTGATT